CCCCCGGGCCGGAGTGCGGAGCAGCGCGCGGCTCCGTCCTGCGGCACTGCCGTGTGCCCCGGACCGGGCTCAGCGCTGCCTGGAGCGCGCACAAACAAGGGCCACCGTGGCCGTTACCAAGAGCCACCGTCTCTTTGCCAAGAGCCACCTTCTCCTTTGGTGCCGGGGGCGGATGAGGCCCAGTTTTTAGCTCGCACAGGCCAAGCCTGGCCACGCTCCGGCCCGGTGCCACTGCTGGAGCGGCCTCAGGATGCTCACGGGAAGGAGGAAGGGAGCTGCCCTGGAGCAGGAGCTTTTCTGCAGCTCCAGGCCACTTCACTGTGTTCAAGCTGCCTTCACGGAGCAGTCACCATAGAAAAGATAAGGAAGAAATGTGCAAAATGAGAGAGCCATCGCCTCCCGTGGAAGAAAGAGGAATGTAGGAGGGAAAAGATGAAGTGATTTCCTTAGGCCCATAGCACCCTGCCCGGGAAGCCCAGGGCGCTCAGCGGGAAGGTTATGCGCAGCAGAGACCAGGCCGAGCAAGAAACACACTCGTTTCCACCTCCTTCCCCTCCTAGGGATACCCGGGATTCCCACGAAAGCGCCAAAGCAGTGACCAAATTCACTCACTTTCTGCACATTTTTTCCCCGCTCCTGAGCTTTGGGAAACGCGCCCGAGGCAGTGGGGGAAGTTCACTTATCTCCATCTGTAACCGAGAAAGCTATTTATTAAAAGTTACTCAAACTGTTAGCGTAAGCAGCCCCGGCGGATGAATATGCATGTGCTGGGATTTACACTGTGCTGCAGCGGGCGGGCAGGATGCAAAGCAAATGAGTTATAGGAAATGCTGCCTATGCAAATGTGCAGCTCTCCTATACTTCTTGCTATAATTCTCAACCCTGGAAGCTTTTTTTTTTTTTTTTTTAAATTCTGTAACTTATTTGCATTGGAAATGCGGTAATAAAATAATGCATGGTAAATAACGCAGTTGTATTTCTATGCGGACAGGACAGATTCCAAAATGTGTTAGCGAGAAAGGGGAGCCCTGAACCAGCAGGGGATTAAAAAATACGGAAGTGCTGTCAAACCGCGCAGCTGTGGACCCCTCCGAAACCAACATCTTTCACCGAACGTCCCAGCCCTTTACCTGAAGAAGGCTTGTTATCAGCAAACCAGACTCAGCACCATAAATTACGGGAACAGAAAAGTTACTGTTTTCACCAACAGTCTCATTTTCATAATTTCCTGCTAGCAAAAGGTGGGGCGAGAACCCAGACCGGAGCAGCTGATAACTGTCTTTGCCTTGAAGAGTGAATAGGAGAGTCATTCATTTCAGGTTTGGAAGTAAAATAGACTAAACAGTTAATACTCTGAATTCCAGCAGGGTTAGAAAGAGGTCACATAACTCCAAGGTGTTTTTTTCTTTTTGATATCATAATTTACCACACTTGATTTTCTCAGGCTGGGTTGCAGGTTGTCTTTGTCCTTCTGCATTGGGGTCCTCCATTTCCAACCTCAACGCAGCCCTGCCCAAGTTGCACAAAATCACAGAAAACAGCATAACCACCCTTATCCTTTAGGATAAGGATTATCCTATAAGGATAAGCATTAGGTGCTTCAAGCTGGACTACCAACTATTTCAGCAGCTTCAGAAGCGGTTTTTGGGTGTAGCACGTAATGTTTGCGTTCCCCCCACGATACTTTAGCAGACTTCCTTAATTTATACATGCAAACGACCTCTGGTTTAGCCTCTTTATTAACTGCTGCCATGAAACCAGGCACATAAACAGCGCTGCTCTTCTCCTGTGCACCCAAGACACAGTCTGGCGAGGTTGAAAGAAAATTTATTTACAATAATTCAAGGGGAATTCCGATTTCAAAGAACGTGTCTTCTTAATATTCTTTTGTCAAAGAGGGGTAGGGAAGCAAATTAAGCATCTTCTCTAGCAGTGACAGTGTTCCCTTACTCTGAAAGTTCTGAGGGCCATCAGCACCCTGGGTGATAGTCCGGGACAGAGGAGGATGCTTGGGTTAGTGTTAAGTGACCGCTGGATGTCACTATTGCTTTAAAAAAAGGACATCAAGGTGGATTTGCAGATGGAAAACATGACCCGATATCCCATTAACCCTCCCCGAACACAGAGCGTGTTAGTGTGGAGTAGCAGGAGGTCCCAAATAAAGCCCACGGCAACTTGTTTTCACTACACAGAAGTTTATTATGAAAGTTAAACATACAACACAAAAAGTAGCAAAAGCAATCCTGGAGCTTAAGGCAACTCTTACAGGAGATGAATTCGAGAAAGATGATGCAACTTCAGTTTAAATAGGAATTATGAAAAATATCAAATTGCATCAATAACTTAAAATGCACTTTAAAAAGTCTGCACTAACCAGCAGAGGGGAAGGGCTTGTAATCTTAATGCCAGCATTAAGATATCGTAAGCAGCAGAATGCTAAATGATGATAGGGAAAGTTCAGTATTTACACAAAGATAGCAACGCTAGTATCTGGTAGCATCATTTCCTGTGTACTTATGGTTTAAAACCACAGTCTGAAACATTAGGAAAACCTTTTAAAATAAATCTTCAGACTATTCCATCAAAAATACACAGATGGCAGAGAAGATCCAAGGCCAGGGATGTGTGCGTGCATGTGTGTCCCTTAAATAACTCATTGCAGCAACACTTTAGAAAAATTATTTCTTTGGGGGAAAAAGAGCGAGAAGAATACGTGGCCACAGAGTGAAAAAGGCTATTTCCCAAGTGAATCACATTTAAATTGAAGTATCAAAATATTTCTATTGATGACATTTCTCACAGTTTACAGTTATTGACATTTAAGTGAATGTTAAATATTCACACTATTAACATACAAAGGTTCTCCTTCACATTGACATTTACTCATGTTTTTGCAAGACCTCTTTTGCATCTTTTTTGCCGTTAATGAGGAATGTAATCATCTTAATGACAGAATTAAAGATTTAACCGTTCTAACCACACAGAGATTCTGGTTTCAAAATCGTTCTTAAAATGCTGAAGCTAGATCACTTGTTTAAAAAAAGGTATCTAAATGACATTTTAATTATTCAGGCTGTACAGAAAGCACCACATTTTTGACGATGCCAAATGACATCACATTTCCAATCCATTTTCTTAGAGTATTGGATGCAATTAAAAACGTGAATAAATCCATTGATCAAAACCCCCAAAATCATTGACACAAATTAATTCATCCCAAATCTTACCCTGTTAGAAAATGCAATATATACTGCAATGTAGTTTTAACTTGCATAAGGTTTTAACAGAAGTGTCCTATGCACAGTATGAGATTTTCTGCACACAACCTCATCTAAACTTTTCACCATTCAGCACAACTTTACAAAAAGCGTAAGATATAAAATATACTTAAAGCAGCTATCTTTAACGTGATTTAATACATATCACCTTGGCAGCCGATCACTTTTGTTCCCAGTTTAACATGCTGTCGAATCTCATCAGAGTTGCAGTATCCCTTTTAAGAACTATTTAAAAAAATCCCTGAATAAAACAGAAGCCAGCCTGCGACTTCCTATGAGTTTCAGTAAAGTACTATATACAGGGGTATAATGACCACTCAAACTCACTTAATACAGAATAAAATCTAAGACAGATACTTGGGCAGAATGCATGAGTATACACACACATATGCACATGGGTGTATATATGTTATATATATATATATATATATAAAGATATTATCATTTAAAAAGTGGAACTGATGAATTGTTAGCAGTTAAAAGCATACTGCAACTGTACCTACAAACCTGCCTGGTTTGAAGTTTGATTCCAACAGCTCTGCGTCACTGGGTTTAGCTTGGAAATATGCAAAATAATGTCAGCAGTTTTCAAAAGGTCTTGCAAATTTAGAAAAAAAAAAAAAAGAAATCGGAAAGAAAGGTAAGAATGCATATCTAAAATGAAGCAGGAGCACAACGAGGACAATCAAAATTTCCAAAAGCCCATATTAAAAAAAAGCTTGGAATGCACTGGCTTCCAGCAGTTAAAGAAAAAAAAAAGCTGTAATACCTTGACCTATTTAAGTGACAATTTTTATTACAGTTGAGAAATATGTTTTTATAGCTGCATAAGTTTCCATTTCACTAAAATAGTGCCAACAAAAATAAGTTTGCATAGAAAAACAAAATTTCAAATTGCCACTGGCTACATGCTTGACATGGGAAATGCAGGTATCGTAACATAAACATAGTGCAAACCATGGCAGTTCCTGGTGATTTTCACTGCCGCAGGTCAGGAAACAGACCATAGAATACCCAGTTATCACAGTTTCTGGTCTTTTCATCTATCCTTGGCCAAGGAGAAGCAATGCATGTGTGCAGACCCGTGGCTGCTGTCAATTAACGGAGTTTGAGGTCATCGCCGCTTCCTAGGTTGGATCCAGGACTAGGGTCTTGTTGCCTTCTTGCCTGCAGTAAATGGATGTGTTTAGGATCCAAGAAGTGGTTTGGGAATCATGTTTTGTTAAGCATATTAAGCACATGCAAAAGACCACAGACATTTCTAAAGCAGAAAATCTACATTTCAAACATGACCCAAGACATGCACTTTTAACATCAAAACCATCCCCTCTGCCCCCATCCCCTCCCTCGCCCCGAGAAGACCCCTGGGGCTGGGCTGCTCCTCAGCACCACTCCACGTCAAAAAGCGACTCGGAGACGTTAGGCAACACTTTTGTGCCTCTTCTGCCAAAAAGAAATACCCAACAAAAAACGTTTTTTTTTTGCTTTGAATTTCCCTTCAGTTAACTGTTTCTGGAAATGCTCTGCATAAATGCTCTCCGGATCAGGATCTTCTGGAGAATGACTACATGGCAAGCTGGCACAGTCGGTCACCTCGTTCCCGGGTACATCCCCCACACACAGTGTTTGTGCAATGAACATTTACTTGAGCTCTCTTTGGGAACAAAGAGACTTCCCCATTTATACATTATTAACAACCAGTACAATTTAATCTATAGGTTTTAACTGAAACCGTTGATACTTCTTGAAGTTGCAGTTCCTCTGCAGCAGATATTTCACTTTTGTGTCAAGCCTATATAATTAGCAATAATTCAAACCTAAGACTGCTCGGGTACTTAGGACATCATAATGTCAGTTCTCCTTCAAAATAAATGGCTCTGTTAAACAGTTTGAGTTGACAGCAATTTCAAGAGGAAATTAAGGAGAGTCAATATCGGTTACACTAAAAGGACTGTTACAATTACCTCCACCTGAGGAAGGAGCATATACATAGCTAGCAGATTTGTCCTGTGGGGCAGAAGGGCTCCTTGCCTGCTCATGTGTTTTAAGAGCTATCCTTTAAGGGACGCAACATGACCAGGGAGCCCCCCCTCCATGCACACACCCTATCAGCCATGCATACAACTCTGTTTCAGTGCGAGCTTCCCAAAAATGCAATGCTGAATTCTTCCCTGCTTTGCTTGGAAAGCAAGATCTGCTTAAGAAAGAAGTTATTCTTCCTAAATTAGGGGTATGCCAGTTTAAAAATAAATTCCAGGAGCAAAAAGATATTCAGCTGTAAGAAGACTTCAGAAGTGCCTGCTTTTTCAAAGGAATTAGCAAAAGGAGCTAAATATGCATTTTAAAGGGCAACTAAGATTTCATGCAGCTGGAAAGAAAGCCCGAGGTGTGTGGGGCCAGCCAGAGCTTGCTGAGGGCTGACGATGTCCTGTGCCACTTCTGCAGCTGAGCATCACGCTCCTTCCCCTTAATTCACGCAGGGCCAGAGCATTTTGTCTCCTCTGCTCCCATCCAGACTGGTTTTAAAGCTCCAGGCTGGGGACACGGATTTTCTTCCTCCGTGTCCCCAACCTCCCCGTCTTCTCTTTGCCCTCCACCCGGCACAAGACACCCCTGAGCTTCTCCTCCACACCTAGTGCTCACAGATCACAGCTCTCGACTCATCACCTCAAACCCCAACCACACTCAGGGCCTTGGGAGCCAGGCAGCTTATAGCCAAAAACCGATCTTAGATTTAATTGCCCAACGCTAGTTTCGCAGCCCAAGGCTGGGTAACAGGGCGCCACGTCTTCAAAATCTGCCCAGAGCTACCAAGATCGTTCGCTAAAAATTGCCCGGAAAATGTCGAAGAAGAAGTTTCTGTCAGCGAGACTGAAATCCCAGGAATATTACTGACCTCAAAGACTCTAACAGCTACAGCCGTCTGGAGAAAACTGAACACGAGAAGCATTTATTACCTCTTATTATTACCCCTCCTGACAGATTTTTATTTCGTGGTGAGGATCAGCTACATTTGCTAGTAGCACACACTAATATTGATATGTTGCAATGCTGCAATTAAGTACTTTAAAAACCTCTCAGGCACTTAAATTTCAAAGCACTACTACTATTCTGGGAACATCCACAACGTTAGCTTTTTTTTTTTTTTCTTTTCTTTTTTTAAAGACACACGAGCATCTCGATATTTTTATGTTTGCAGAGTGTCAGGCTGGCACCTTGCCCTGTAACTCCCAGGGTGCTGCAGAAGGCACCGGGGCCACATTCCCAGCTGGTGGGAGCCATCACTGCACCAGCGCGGGTCAGCGGAGCTCCAGAACGTCCCCAAAATGCCGGCAAATCAAGTGACCCCCAGCCCGTCACACAGAGCCAGGCCCACCCCGGTGACACACGCGGCTCGGGCACTCACCCCGTGCGCGCGGCAGCGCTGAATAATACAAGTATTTCAGCTGAACTGTGACTAAGAGTGCCGTGACGGCTGCTCGCACGCGCTCCTGGCCCTTTCTGACTCATTTGGTGACAGCGAGGCCGCCTTCCTGCCACTGCCGCGCGCGGCGCCGCGCAGGCGGGGCCTGCCGCCCCTGAGGCCTCCACCACGCACAGCCGGGGCCCTTGGCTCCCTCCAGGGCTCCTTCTCCGCACATCTCCCCCTCACCGACCCTTCTTGCTTCGCTCTGCTTGCAAGTGCAGCGGTCACCGGTAGGAGAGGCCGTCCTGCCTCCCTCTCCTACTTAAACAAGGATTTAAAGCTGTATTTTCCTATTCTGAGCGGGCTCCAAGTCCATAGGATAAATCCCTCTAGTAATCAGCATATTTTCAGGGAGGCTGCTCCCCCCGTTCCTCCTTCTTCAGAGGCCACAGTGCCATTACCACTCAGAATCGCAAATTGTAACTATCACATTTGATATCTAATGTACTTATGTATCTATTAGCACGTATCTATATAGTCAGCCAGATTTTAGATTTCGGGGAAGACCTCTTACTCTGTCTACATTGGCCATACTCTGACTAAAGGAAGTGATCTGTTTTTCATATGTGAAGAAAACCATAGAAATTGCCCAAGAGTATACTGAGATGTTTTGCTTGTAACTGCCTCTCTTCTAGGAAGAACCAAAGGCATGTGCTATCTTTAAGAGTTACCAAAAATCTTACTTATATCGAGCTATTTTGTTACTAGTTTTGTACTCGGCACACATTTTTTTACGCTTACTAGAAAAACCAGCGAGTTAACACTGCTGTACTTCTGCTTTTAAAAGCAACAGAGTTTCCTCTTCAGAGCCCAAATTATACGCACAGCAATTTTATTGTCAAATTCCAATGCAGACTCCAAGGTACCAGGAGCATATGGTTGCACTTAGGCTTTTGCTAAAGTGGCCTTTTCTTTCAAAACATATGAAAAAATCCACATGATTTACAACATCAGCGCGACTCACGGGGTTTGCAGAAGCCACTACTGAACAACTACCAGATTTGGCCTTTCAAGTGACACGCAGAAGGCATGACAAATTACCCTCAAATGCCCTGAAAATGGTCATTACACTATCGTGCTCGGAGATGGGGATAAAGGTGTAATTTTGCCTTTTGGTAAAGGGGATTTTCACCCCAAACTTCTAAACACCGGCGTGACAGCTCAGCCTCGCGCAGCAGCACTTCTTTATGTGCATTGGACGACGATGTATGAACACGTACATGTGGAACATCCTCATCCTGCCACTCGGGGCCCTGCCAAAGCACATGAGCACAGTGTGCAGTCACTACTGCTGTGCTTTACATGTTGAAAAAGTTTTACAGCTCTATCTAAAATTAAAAACACTCCAGCATTGAAACACGGCCATTTCTGAAATCAAAAACAGCAGAAATTACCTTGTATACAGACAGCACGCTAATGTATCAGGAAGTAAGTGATATTTTTGGCTGCTGACAAAGGGCAAAACACCACTTTTCATTAAAAAGAATGCCACAAGGTTCTTAATGTTCCCTTGCAGGAGAAATCTGCCCACCCGTGTAGTGGTAGCTGCAAGATCTCTTCATGGTTTATTACGGGAAGCTAAAAGTTCCCTTTTACAGATGTAAAAAATGGCGATTTCCACAATTCTCTCCGCTTTGGTTCCCACACTCTCAGCCCGGCTAATCAGTTTTCTGAACTGCAGCACCTGCTGTAGCTTTTGAAATGTGTCTTTCATGACTGTGAAGCCAAGCAGAAGCACCAGAATTGCTCTCGGCAAGGAAGCAATGAACCCAACTCCGAAGATACAGGAGACTTGCTTCGATTAAAAGACATGCATTTATTTTTTTGCAAGTGGAAAATGGAATATTCTGCTATGAGTCATGAGAAAACAGTAGTTATTCATCTTATCTCGGCGTATTTCATTTTTCAGGGAAATGCCAATTTTAAATTTGAAGGAGGAATACAGTGACCTCTAATACACTTGTTTGAGCTGCTAAAGGATCCTCTGTGTCAAATCTGGAGTTCCCAAAGCGCTACAGCAGGAAGGGTGCTGGCACCAACACTTGCAAGGCTGTGAGGAAGCACAGAGATCCCACCATGCTGGTAGTGCTCCCAAACTGAATGTGCTTTAATCAACACCAGCCGTTTCCTTCCAGATATCCTGGAATTGAATAGTTAATGCCATGGATGCACAGTGAGTTTCAATACCCCAAAATACTTCACACTCAGCTTTCAGCACATGAGGCCATGCAAACCTTCTGCAATACGGAAGGAATTAGAACTGGCCACAAGCCAGTTCAAACCTCTAAAGTAGGAGATGGTATGATGATGGACTGAAAGAATTGCAGGAACGTATTTGGCAAAAATAAAAAAGTTTCAAAGCCTCCTATAACATGCTATTCTAGCTTTACTCATGCTGAGCTGGTTACTGACACCACAGGGTGAGTAACTACTAACAAACAGGAAAGGCTGTAACAAAATCACTCTGGGCTTGAGCACAGACAAAAGCAAAAGCAACTTATTGCAGCAGGCTTATTTCTACGCTCACTTCAGCCCTCTGTTCCTGAGCTTTCGCCAGCTCTAAATACAGCCTAACTAGGGAAAAAAACATACTAGACTGTAGCTCTATTATGTTACTTTTCTTAATAAATGAGAAAGTCGTTGAATCACTAAGGAGAAATTGTGGCTCTCGTGGACAGGGAGCACGTTGGAGCATTTCCAC